AAAAAAAAAAAAAAAAAAAAAAAAAAACAGAACAAAGTTGAAGCCTTTGCAGGAAAACCACCTTTTTTCTTCGTGTGGAATTACCAACCCTGCAATGTGTTAAGTTTTTTTTTTTTTTTTTTTTGAAACTTTTTTTACATGGATGGCGAAATGGAAGTTGCTTACAGGAGACTTTCTGAATAGAATTTTTTTTTTTTTTTTTTTTTTTTTGGAAAATCAAATGGCAGTCTTGTATCGATTGAGGAGGGGAGCGGGAGAGTGTGTGTACCCAATTGGGCAAAAACTCCCATTGAAGGAAATGCACGCGAAATGGGGAGGGGTGAGCCGATGGGTATAAATGGGAAGGTCGCAAATTGGACGCGTGGCATATTGGCAGAGGGGCGAAATGGAGCACACACACTTTGCGCCCACCCCATTTCGCATGTCCACAAAGGGTCACCATGACTTCACCGGGTGCGAGGCAAACAAGGCTCGCAAAGCGAACAAGAAGAACAAAACGCGTACCTTATGCGTAACCGACTTGAGTCCCCCACCCGGTTCACTTTAACAATCGAGCGAAATATAACTCCACTTAGTTGTCCTTTTTTTTTTGTTTTTTGGATCGCCCCTTTGAACAGAAAGTTGGCAACTGGACAATTTTACCTGCACATGTTCAGAAAAAAAAAAAAAAAAAAAAAACACCAACAGGGAAAGTGACGAGGACGAGCGCAACCAACAGAAAAAAGCTGTACACCCCCCACTTTGCCCATCGCGCATTAACTTTGCCTTGGAGACCGAACAAAAAAATACGAGAAGCACTTTGGAGAGTTGTTCGCAATTTTTTTTTTTGTGTGAGTATGTGACTTTCTCTTTTGCATTCCAACTTTGCATTTTTCTCCCCTTCCCCCTGAGGTGACCATGCAAGAGGAGGAGCAGACCGAACGGGAAAGAAACAGGATGCATGTAACTTGTATGGCTGTACCTTCATGCGTAAAGTACATGTGTGTGTATACATGTGTCTCTCCCACGCAACTTCCCTTTCAGCAGAAGCGCGAAGCAGGAAGCAACCCCCTTCATGCATGCATGTTCGGTGTGAGTCCAACCACTGACCCTTTTGGCGACAACCCACAGCTCTGCCAGTGAGCAGCACGAGAAAAAAAAAAAAAAAAAAAAACGCAACAGAACAGAACAGAGCAGCACTCAGGAAAAGACGGCAAAACAAGATTGACCATCAAATGTTGAAACAGAAAAAAAAAGGAGATTCCCCTTTAAAAGACACACACCATTTGGACGAATGCCCATTTTGAACCCCCCCCCCCCCTGTACACGGGAAGACCCATCGCACGCAAAAGTTTCTGCGTTCCACTAACAAAAGGCCATTAAGCAAAAACACTGTGAGATAATATGCTTATCTGTTTGGAACAGGTTGATTTTTATAACGTCCTTGGCATTTCAGACTTGCTCGATTTGTTTGGCTCGTTTGGCTCGTTTGGCTCGTTTGACGTGCTCATCGTTGCAGAATTGCTACACCTGCTCAAACGGCTGTTCCCCCTTTTGACTTTGTCTTAACCCCCCCTGTCACACACCCTGCAAAACCGCAGCGTAAGTTCCATCCCTCCCCCTCGGAGTAAAACACCTATGCGCTCCGTTTCACCTGCACATGAAAATTTCCTTATTGATCTGCTTGACACACCACCTTCGCAGGCGCCACGTGAAAGCATACCTTGGAGGAAGTTCCCCCCCCGGAATAGAAGTAACGATCCCCGCTTCAACTTCCACACCCCATGACGCATGCGAAGGGAATTGCGCGGGCCCTGCTGTTGGCCACGCTGCTACTAACATGGATGCAAGTGGGCATGTCCAAGCACCACGTCGATCTGTCCAGTTCAAACAAATCAGTCTTCCTCTTGAATGTAGTCCCAGGAGACACAGTGGTATACACATGTCCATATAGCCTTAACAAAGAAATGAAAAATATGTGTGCACGCGAGAGAGAATATTTTGAGCAAAAGCTTTTCTGTTTTGATCATGTAATTATTAATAGAAACGTCTTCCACTTAAGAGACTACGTGAGAGGAGCATACAATATTGTAAGTAAATACGTGAACAATATATATACAGCTGAATTCACAGTGCCCCCTTTTGTACTAATGAATCGCCATTTCGAATGCTACTGTTACATGGAGGATGGAAACGAAGTTGTTAAAAAGACACTGAAGGTACACATCTCTAAGGGTGTCGTTAAGAAAATCCCTGGGTGTGACTTCAATGATGAGTATAGGGAAAGCACTGCCATCACCACCTTCAGTAACATGGATCGTAATACAGTGAAGGTATGTGATAGCTATCCTAGAGGTGGGGATACCATCACTCTGTTGTGTCCTGTTAATTACACTGTCCAACCAGATGGATGTTTCAATCAAGTGTACGTCAAGAAGGACGATATAAAAAATGATAAAAATAAGTTAGAGGAACGATTCAATATTAGTAGGAAATGGGAGAAAGACAAATATAAAGTAGTTGATATTGAGACTCTGTTTGGTCAAAAATTGAATAGCATGGGGGATGAAATGACGAGGTTTGCAAAAATTCCTGTTACAAATGAAGAAATCAGTTTTACCTGCACATGTCAGGCAAATGATGCATCCGATACGCTCATGATGAATGTATATATAAATGAGAGTTATGACAAATTTGTGCAGTCTAATCATGATAAGGTGGAGTACTCGAAGCATAACTTTTCTTCCACCACAGTTAGTCATTACAAGGAGGAGCGCAGCGGCGCGTCCTTCTCTTCCTTTTTCGGTCAGGCGCTGCTTGGCGCACTGATGCTGCTTTTGTTGGGCGCGTAGGGGCGGCACCGTTCCTTATCATCACTGCGTGATGTGAACAATTTGGCTCTATTTTTTTTTTTTTTTTTTTTTTTTTTTCTTTTTCCCTGCGTTGCTCACCCTGTGTGCATTTGCACCACTTTGACGGACTCCACAATATTATGGGCGCGCTCGTTCACCGCTTTATTACCGCTTTGTTACCGCTCTGTCACCGCTTTATCACGTCTGTGTCACCGCTTCGTTGCCACTTGTCCACCCCCGTGGCGCACGCCAAGTTGGGCAGGAAGGTCGAAATTTTGAGCACCTTCAGGGAAAACTGGTGACGCATCGTCTGACTCGGTTGCATGGCGTACAGGAGCAGGTTCAGCATCCTACAAAAGGGGAGGAGGGGAGGAGGAGCGCAGCGGCGCGTCCTTCTCTTCCTTTTTCGGTCAGGCGCTGCTTGGCGCACTGATGCTGCTTTTGTTGGGCGCGTAGGGGCGGCACCGTTCCTTATCATCACTGCGTGATGTGAACAATTTGGCTCTATTTTTTTTTTTTTTTTTTTTTTTTTTTTTTTTTCTTTTTCCCTGCGTTGCTCACCCTGTGTGCATTTGCACCACTTTGACGGACTCCACAATATTATGGGCGCGCTCGTTCACCGCTTTATTACCGCTTTGTTACCGCTCTGTCACCGCTTTATCACGTCTGTGTCACCGCTTCGTTGCCACTTGTCCACCCCCGTGGCGCACGCCAAGTTGGGCAGGAAGGTCGAAATTTTGAGCACCTTCAGGGAAAACTGGTGACGCATCGTCTGACTCGGTTGCATGGCGTACAGGAGCAGGTTCAGCATCCTACAAAAGGGGAGGAGGGGATATATATATATATATGTGTGCATGCGCCGCCACACGGTAGGCGAAACATCCCTGAATGAAATTCTTAAAAGATATCCCCTGGGAGGCACTTTCCTCTCCTTGCCTACCTCAAACGGGTGCGCAGAACGAAGAAGCCGTTGCTCTGCGCTATATTGATCAATTTAAAATCGACCTTCAGTAGCATGACCAGCCCGAAGAGGTCAAATATGATAAGCTTCAGTGCCTTCTTTACATGACGGACGGCATTGACATTCACCAGGTTGATGCTGCAAATGAAAAGGGAGGAGAAATAAGCAGCGGGACGGTCACCCAACGGAGCAGTCAATCATCACAACGGCAAACGCGGGAGCCAGGGTTCATCTCCCTTTCGTGTTAATCTCCCTCCCGGGACGACGCTGTGCTCATGTGCATGACTCACATCTTGACCAGCAGGTACACTTGGTTAGACTTGGAGGCGAGTTCCATCGTTGGATCACGTGGCGTGGGTCGTCGACATGGGCAATGATTCCTACCGCGAAAGCGGGGGGGACGATCGCATCGACTGAGTAGCTCTACTTCAGGTGAGGGAAAAATACAGTACTGCTAACGTTATCCCGCGCTCCGTTTTTCCCCCTTAATGGATCACATATGCGCCTGACGACAAATCTGCAGGGCAGCGGATCAAGAATTGCCTCAATTCGCTTCGCGCACAACGGATTAAAAAAAAAAACAAGGGGGGGTGCATATATACTCCCGGGTGCCTATACATGCTCACGCATATACAACATTCACATGATATATGAACGGCTATATAAATGTGGTATGTACATGGTACATACGTTTGTGTATTTTTTTTTTTTTTTTTTTTTTGTAGGAGATCGACTAGCTAAAAAGCGACTGACAAACTGCTAGCTGTTCATTCGAACTATCCACTTGAACAACGCATTGTGTGCCGGGCAACTGTGCGCAAGTCACAAGCACATGAAATATTTTTTTCGGATGGGTATTCCCTGGGCAATTCACTACTTTTTACATTTTTGCGGTTTGATTGATGTTGTGTGGTTTAACCAAAAAGGCAATTGGCCCGGAGTGAATCACTTTTTGTGTGTGCATCCCTCAACCCAGCCAAAAAAAAAAAAAAAAAAAAAAAAAAAAAAAAACATGACGCTGCATGGATGCACACAATGACGTAACTTAAAAGGGTTTACCAATTGAGAGTTGTTACATCAAAACAAGGTGAAAAAAGGACGACGGTGGGTGGGGCAACGCATACATTATATAGCACACCGCCGCGGCAGACGCGGAAGTCATGGGTAGGAGATATATATATATGACACGCCCCTGTTCCACTAGCTGATGAAGTGCAGCTTCCTCTCTGAAATTTCTCGCATGCGCTGCGCGATAATTTTCTTGGTCCGGTTGACTGTCTCCGCGTTGTACTTGTCCAGTTCATCCAAGGCGTCACTCAAAATAATATCTTTTATAAGATCTTCCCATTTCGAGGAGCTGGCAGGGACTTTGCTTTTTTCTAAGTCAAGCACAGCCTGCACAAGTACCCTCGTGAGTCCCTTTTTGTCAATCAGATTGTATGCATGTGCTTTCGTAGCAGCACCGATGTATGTGCGAAAGAAAAAAACTGGAACAGACTTAATAAAGTAATCACTTGGAAGCAATGTATTATCATCCTTTCCCTTTACGTGGTGCAAAAAAACAGCTTTCATTCTTTGTGGGTATGTACGAATCATCATTTCTCCTGCCTGTTTGTCCATATCACCAGTGTCCCCAATCCATATGTACCTCACAAGTGAGTTTTGCTGAAGTACATACTTGTGGAGGTGTTTAAAATTAACAAATTTTTTTTCTCCTCTTGTTTCATTCCACACCCACTCCTTCAACGTGGAGTACAAAATTTTATTATGACAATCGATACCCCAACTTTTTATTCCTCTCCTCTCGGCCACCTCATTGAATTTTTTATTCAAAAATGAATCGGCCGTTATAGGTACTTGGGGGATTCTCGCCGTAAGCACAGACAACAACAAGGGCTTCGCTTCTGCTGATAGCTTATTCATAGCTAGCTCGAAAATGAATTGGAAGGACCCTGGGTATGTTTCTCCTCTTTGGTATTGAGCATCCACTCCTCCCAGAGCATAATTAAAAAATTTGTATCCTCCACTCGATCGGATCGTGTCGTCTATGTCAATTATTACTTGTGTGGTTCCCCACTTGAGTCGTTCATTTTTGCAGTCGATTATTCGTCTCTTCACTTTTCCGCTAGCAGCATCGCGAGCGGCTGCGTCATCACGAGTGGCCGCATCATCACGAGCGGTTGCGTAATCACGAGCCGAAGCATAATCACGAGCAGAAGCATAATAATCCCGCGCGTGGGTGGAGGTGGAGGGGCCCTCTTCCCCCTGGTCGTGGCGATCCCTTGCGTGGCCACTCCTCTCCTCTCTCGTCCTGTCCCACAGCTCATTTTGCTTATAAAAAAATCGATACACATCTTCAGAGGGATGTTGATCCGGCGGGGCCTCCGAGAGACACTTAAAATTATTTTCATACAAATTTACGTCACATGACTTGGACACATTCTGTACAGGTGCGTCTTCCTCACCGACGTGTCTCCAATTTTGATGGTCCCTTCGTTCAGGTGATTCACTCCACCTTCGTCCCTCTTCAAAGTCCCTGGCCCCAGAGGGACGAGTCAGGTACTCACTGAATGAAGACACGTTACCTAGATTAATGGGGCTCCTATTCCTCTTCCCCTGCTCGGCGTTACATAAGTCTTCAATGGCATGGAAGCATTTCTCCATATTGGCGTCGTTGATCTTAACAGGTTTCACTTGAAAGTGGGTGTCGTCCATGAAGGGTCTTTCTTCCACCAGTTCCAATTTGCGCATTCTAACTGGTGACGCATCCCTCATGTTGATGAGGGCACTCGATTTGTACTTCTCTGTGAGTATATCGTTTATGGGTGCAGTGGAACTCGTCTTGGGTCGGCTGGGCAGGTCATCATTTATGCCTGCATCCTCGACGTTCCCCGGTGCTTTAAAACTGTTCGCGCCGACTCGATATGCATGTCGGTGCGTGTCGTGACTGTAGGGGTTGTTCCCCCTTTCACCATGCATTCTTCCTTCGGGCGCACCCCCCCTTTGATGCTGCGTGTTCGGTCTGCTCTGACGACCGTACATGTGCATATATGCATTTTCTTCCTCATTTACGTTTTGCCAATTAACATGGCTGCTGGTGAAAAATTTTTTACTCAATGGAACATCCATGTCGTTGTGTACCCCGTCTCCCGGCCTGGGCGGAGATCTCACTTCGTTTGAGTAATTGTGTGAGCTGTACTTCCTAAGCGTGTACTTGGGGGGGGTGCTTCTCTTAACCGTGTGCGTCTCGGTACAGGTCCTTTCAATGGGTGGACCTGCGGGGTTGGTGATGTTGTTACTCATGGTGGTAGCAGTGCCGGTCTGCTCATTATGTTCTGCTAGCCAGGCGTCGTGGCCCTTATCACGGTCATGACGCTCATCGCGTGCGCTTCGTTCACTGCGACCGTCACTGCGCCCGTCGCTGAAACGGTCGACGTCTCCCCCTTCATCATGCTGCCCCCGTGTTGTGGTTTTCTTCTGCTGCACAGACTCTTCTATGCGACTAATGATTTTTGTAAGATTATTTGTAACCTGGTCATGGGAAGTGGCGACTCGTGAGGCCTCCCACCTATCTTGGGTTAACTGACGCAACAGAGCATTATCCTCCTCATCACTGTTTACGTTGCTGGAGTGAAGCAATGGAAGATCGTGAAATAGGCCTCGTTCACCTACGCGTTCATTGTAGAGTCTGCTTGTCGTGCCACGTGTTTTTCCCTCCACTTGACGACTCGCTTGTTTTACCCACATGGAATAATCACTGTGTTGGGGGTCACTCCTGTGTGTGTGTTCTTGTTTGGGTCTCATGGCAGAGGCGCGGTCGTCCATATAATTATCCCGTTCACCCCGTTCACCCACTTGACCCTTATCACCACTGTGGTCATTACGATTGTACCCTGTGTCCTCCATGTCTTCCCCCCTCACTTCTTGTGCTAAACGTTCGTTTGTCTCCCTGAGGGAGGTTAGATCAACCTGTCCCTTCTCTCGTTCCTCATCAGCGGACACATATTTTTTCCATTTTTCAAATTCGCTCTGTCTTGTATGTTGATTCACTTGTGTGTATCCCCTTTGTGTAATGTCGAATGGGTTATCCGTCCCCACTTCACTGCCAATAAGGGGGTTCGTCCTTCCACCCGTGTGGGTAGTATGGTCAAACGGATTTTTGTTTTTTTCACTTTCGCCTGAACAGTTCAGGTCATTTGACGGTGGTGGTTGTTTTTCGCTGTGATTGGAATTGGCTAGGCGGTCGCTGTGGACGCTTCTGATGGGGTCGTCAGGCACGTCACCTCGCAAGTCGTCACGCGCGTCGTCAAGCAGGTCATCACGTAAGTCATCACACGCGTCGTCACACTGCTCCTCATTGCTGTTGTGGCTGCCGCCATCGCGAACGCCTTGTGGTCCCTGCCCGTTACCCCCCATTAAGAGCAGGTTAGGAAAATTTTCTGCTAATTGAGCAGAGCTTCCCTTTTCGTCCCCCTCAGGACCGTCCCCCTCATCACTCTCATCATCGACACCATCAAACCAGTGTGTGTCCTTCTTGTGCATGTTGCTAGTTAGGTTATTCATACTTTCATACAACTTGGAGTCAATGAGCTTTTCGTGTTCTTCTGCCTCATCGTCCTCTGTGAAGGGGGACTGTTTGTGTAACTTGCTAGGAGAACACACACTGAGGTCGTCGAGGCTTATTTTGTCTTCATCTGAATTTTCCTTTTCTTCTGTTTGGTGCAGCCTTTTTATGTCACTCATTTCAATACATTCAAAGGTGGGCTTGTCCTTATCTCGTTTCTTTTTCATGGGTGGGGTGGAGGAAAAATACGTCGAGGGGGGCAGGTACGTCGTCGTGTGGTGTGTGTTCTCTAGCTGGGCTTTAATATGTGACAGGCTCGGGTAGGTGTCCACGTCCTCAATGAAGAACGGAACAAATGTGTCCGGTGGTAGTCTCCTCTCCCGTGCGACGTGCGCACATACACACTGGAAAAGGACAAGTAAAAAAAGGGCGACCATCCACGGGGTTGTGTGTGAATGTGTGTATTGTGCGCGTGTGTACGTATGTATTTATGTATTAAGGGGTGGGGGGAGAGGAGAAATTATCTTAATGGAGTAGGAGCCTTTGCAAATGCCACCACGTGAATGCGGTTAAAGCTGATTTAAGAGGTGGCCACATGAAGAGGCGGCGCGTTATGCGAGGCTCGACATATGGTAAACGTCGGACCTACGCATGTACATTCAAAGGGGCATTAATAAAAAAGAGGACAGGTCGGCATGGGGAGGCGTTGCAGGGGTTGTGCACATGTATAGAGGATCGGAGTACAGACACACTGCCTGATGGACGCCACGAAGGAACGGTCAAAGTAAAAAGGAACAAACTTGCAAATTCGTTTTATTGTGTAGGAGCTGCTTTGCGTTTCCTAACTGGGGTTTATAGTGGGGAGCTTGCTTTTCCCTTTTCATCACATGGGCAGTTCATGGAGTGCCGCTGCGCTGTCGTTGGTGTGTATTCCCTTTCGTGTTGGTGTTCACGAGCCACCCTCTGTTTCTTCAAGGGTGCTTCTTCTCAAGTAGGGGTACGCCAGTGGGTATAACATGTAAATGTTATTAACGCACCGGTGTGATTGAGGGAGCAACATGCCTCCGCGCACGCTCCAACGGAAGGGGGTATATCCATTCGTATTCGCCACGGCCAAATCTCCTTCCTCAGATGCGAGTTATTATTTCAACTAACAAGCAAAAACTTTTTCCCCCGGCTTATAAAAGAAAAAAAAAAACGGGGGGCAGCCGTTGTATATATAAATGGGGGGTGTTTATATTACCTATGCGCGGCGGACTGCTTGCTCGGGGGTGAATAATATACATATATAAGCTGAACGTACAAGTGGCTCGCTGCGAGATACGCAGGTTAGTACTCTCATTCCTCTACCTATATATGCAAAAAGAGGGTAGGGTAGATGCGCGGCCACAGTACAATCGCAGAGCGATCACAGCGCGATTAAAGCGCGGGGTTTATGTGAACACAAAAAAAAAAAAAAAAAAAAAAAAAAAAAGAAGAGTCAGTAGAGCTCTGTGCCAGGCGGGAACAAATGCATGGAGCGCGAGCAGTTCTTCAACTCGGAAGATGCTTAACAAATAAGTTCATGTAGTTACGCACGTATAACTCACGTACGCACTTTTTTTTTGTATATACATGCATATGCACGTAGAGGGTATGCATAACAGCAGAATGAAGAAAAAAAAAAAAAAAAAAATAGCTCGCGTATTATTTTATTAAACGCGGGCACAGAAAATTTACAGGCAAAGGGGGTGGACTTGCGCAGCCTGGCGTGCATGCCCCCCATTATAGCGATGGGATGGACCACTTCATCCCGTTCACCTTCACATATGCTGCAATTTTAAAAAGGTAAAAGTGTTGCACAAGAAAATAAAGGAATATTTTTTTTTTTTTTTTTTTTTTTAAAGCTTTTATGTACTTTCCCCAAGTGCACATTTTGCAAAACGGAAAAAGTGTATAAATACTGTTGTCCCCCTGCAACTGTTTTTTTATTTTCCCCTGCCACGTTCATCGCAGGTATGTTCAGGTGGGGGGATCTGTTGTTTTCGTATGCGGAGTGACAACACAGTGAGCGGCACGCAGGTTCTTTCCTGTATCTGCACTTTAGGCGTTTATTTATTTATAGCAGCCAAACGATGCAGCTTCTTCCTCCTCCATAAACCCAGTGGGGCGGCCCGTGGGGATGGAGGGGGAGTAAAAGACGGTAACCTCTACACAGAGGTGAAGGGGAAAGCATGTATGCGTGTGCCGACGAGTGAGGAGTTTCGCCTGTGCCAATAAGAACAAATTGTACAAATAGGAAAAAAAAAAAAAAAAAAAAAAGCTACACAAATTTATTAACAGAAAACAGAACGGCAAAGATGCTATACACCTATTGGGGTAGGGGTAAGCCTTTCCCTCCCCATGTGGACAAAAAAAAAAAAAAAAAAACCTGCGTGTGCACCATTCTGTTATAGAAGAGTCATTCCCCCTGTGGAGGTTTTATAAAGTACAAGGAACGCCTACGCTTGGGCAGACTTTTTTTTTTATGCATGATATTCCCTGCACGCATGATTCCATGTCTACCTTTGGAGTACCCCCTCCGGTGCGAAGGTATAAACATGTGACATATTTGAAAATGGGGGGAACGGGGGGGGAGATTGTTCTGTTTTTCTTTCTCCACCTACCCCACTGCAACGGTGCTTGCACCAGGGGAGAGTCCAACCCTATGCAGTACAAAAACGGGGGAAGCGCCCCTCTACACACGGTTTAAATATGTATGGGGGAACGTGTGCTATATGAGGTTGCCGTTTTTGCTTACACATATGTGTATGTAAAAAGGGGTAGCGAGGCTTCCCCCCATGAGTGGGCTGTACCGCGACAACCACTCACTCTGTGTGTGCCAGTCGTGTCGTTTGAGTGTCTTCTTCATCATGTTAGGAAGACACGTAAGGTTCTCCTCCTGGGGTTGGTCCACCATAACCATATGCGTTTCACAAAAACGCGGTGACGTAACCACAAGAACGTGCCACAAGTGGTCTGTGTGGACATGCGTATAAACGTACAGAGGAGTAAATATAATTAGAGGAGCTCCCCCCCCCCCCCCCCCCTCCCAGTTCTTCTCTTCATTTGTGGTGCATCAGGTCAGCAGGTGGCACAGATCATATGAGCGCGTGGACATTACATGAGCCCGCGTCGTTTGGGACCGCTTTCCCATTTTTTAACATCTGTGATGGGAAGTGCAGTAGCGCGCAGGTGTGGGAAGGAGGCAGTACACCACTGCATAACCCATTTGGTGTTCGCATTTGATTCGTTTGTTTGTAACAGAAAAAAAAAAAAAAAAAAAAAAAAAAAAAATGATCGACTCCCCCACCTCCCATCTTCGTGCAAGCATACGGAGGGAATGGGGTGCGCACCGGCAACGATATCCCTGCAAATTATATTTTTCCTATTTTTTTTTTTTTTTTTTTTTTTTTTTTCTGTTACTATATATTGAGTTGGGGAAGCAGCTTTAAAAGATTCACACGCTCCATCGGAAGAAGAATATATAAAAAGAGGGAGTAAAAAAAGGAGGAAAAAAAGAGGAAAAAAAAAAAGTGCGCGGCATGGGACGTGCAGATACATGGGCAAGAAGGGATGCCTGCGCGGACCCACGAGAAGGCGCATGAACGTATGCATATACGTATGCACGTGCGTACGGATGTATGTACGCGTGTACGAGTTCATATGCGTATAAAGGGTGAGGGAGAGAGGGTCTATCAGTGAGCAGCCGTCGCGGAGCGTTTCTCTTCAGGGGGAGGGTAAGAGAAGTGAGGCACCACGGGAAAGGGGGGTAAGCATTAGACCGCCGTCGTAGAAAAGCAGCGAAGTAACCACATGAGTAGTACCTCCACCCCGCGCGCAGAACAAGATAACGAGGTGATCTCCCCCCTTGGGTAAGAACGACCCATGACACAAGGAACAGCCCCCCTGGACGAACCATGAGCTCCATCATCGTGCGCCTCAGATGCGAAATCGGACTTTATCGCATCGAGATTGAGAGTAGCAAAAGGTTGACCGACCTGAAAAGTAAAATTGAGGAACTCTTAAATGTTCCGTTAGAAAAGCAGGTGCTTTTTCTACAAGAGGAACCTAACGTCCCGTTGACGGACAATGGAGCGTTGCTCGAGCAGTGTAAAATTACCCATGGGTCTATCCTTCATTTGAAGAGTGAGGTGAAGCCGACCACGGGTGGTGGTGGGAGTGCCAAAGGGAAGAGCGACAAGAAGGGCGGTAACAACAATGAGTGTAATGAAACAGATGCAAAGAAGAAGAAGGGGTTCGAACAAACACAAGGGGGGGGTAGCGGCATGGATGGGGCTGGTTACCCTTATAGTGAAAACCGTGTGACCCCCCAGAAGGAAAAAAAAGAAGAAGGGAAAATGAATAACGAAAAGGAGAAGAATGAAAATCAGGCCAACTTCAAATCATTTGATTATTTCTTAAAAACGAGAGAATATAACACGACAGATCTCCCCCTGAATCTAACCTACGAGTCGGTGTTTCTGTGTAAGGGACGGTTCATTAAAATCCCACTGAGTGTGACCCTGAAGCATCAACAGTATCGCCATGTAGATCACCTCGAACTTATGAACGTGGAAGAGGTGAAAAACTTTGTACAATATTGGTATACAAATGGAAGCATGTGTGAACACCGGGTTGGTTGGATGTATGGTTACTACAGGGAAGACCCTCATTACACTTTAGGCATTCGAGCCGTGTGTGAATGTATATATGAACCTCCACAAATAAATGAGGTAGATAAGGTTAAACTTCTACCAGATGATTTCCTCGACTCTGTTGATGTGATTGCAAATCGATTAGGTTTAGAACGAATTGGTTGGATCTTTACACATCTACCAAGGAAAGAACATTTAACATCGGAAGAAGTGGTTCAGATAGCTAAATTGCAGCTAGCTAATTTGAAGAAAAATACACATTATACAAATTATAGTGTCTCCAATTTTATCACTTGCACTATTTCACCTGACCCTATGTTAAGTAATGAACCAGTGACGAATGCCTTCATGGTGTCTGACCTAGGGATGGCATTAATTCGATCCAATATGGTGGATCCGATACAAAAAGATCCTTCTGTTATACAATTGAGGAATCCTATGCGCAACGAGCTTCTTCCTCTCATCCTGGAAGGAGGAAAAGAAACGAACAAGTTTGATGCAGACTGGTTCATTGTTCGTATTAATGAATCAGCCCCTAAGGTCGTTAGGTCCCTTTTTAGAAACTTCCACTTCCCCAGGGAAAATCGGCTGCGCGCGCCCTCTGCCTACGACGTGAAGGAGTACTTCTCCAGCCCCAAGTTGGAGAGGGGCACCAATGGGATGCACAGGTGCTCCGACTTCCATTTGATTTTGTTCGCCTGTCGCGTGCTCGACATGGAGACTGCGCTCGCCCTCTGCGACGCCGCGCTCGGCAAGAAGGAGATCGACCCCATCATAGAGGAGATCCTCACCTCGGTGAAGGTGTAGCGTGTGTCGCGCGTGTCACAAGTGTAACGCGTGTGTACGTATATATGTGCATTCATTTTTTTTTCACCCCCCAAACGCTCTCTTCTATTTGCCCCATAAAATTGTCTATACCTTGTAGAATCACTTACGTTGTGTGTCCCCACGTAAATAGAGTTAGCCAGTTAAGATGCCCCCGCATCAGGTCAACACTCTAAGTAACGAAAAAAAAAAAAAAAAATGGAAAGACGTCCTTTGTCCACATTTTTTTTTTTTTTACCTGAACAAGTCAGGTTGTTCAGGCGAAAAAGGGGGGACACGCTCTCCAGCCCCATGAGAATTGTCCACTTTGCCAAAAAGAAATCCACTCAACAGGGAAATAAAGCAAAATGATATTTTTTTTTTCACAAAGAAAATATGCATATTCTAGTGAACTGCCTTTTGGAGGAGAGTTATCTCGTCCACAGCGGGCATAGGACACATTAAGGTTAACGTTTTTTTTCTTTTTTTTTATCATCAGGAATTGCAAAAATGTCTCCCCCAAAAGAAACGTCGGATAAAGCATTTTTGCATTTCTCGAGGACAAGAAAAAAAAAAAAAGGCAAAATGGTACTCCGCAGAGAGAACAATAAACGAAAAAATTCAAAAAAAATAAATAAAAAAAAAATAAAAAAATAAAGTGCACACATTTCGTGTGATAAGTGTGGACGTACACACGCACACAATGTTAACGCGTGCGTGTGGTCCTCCCGTGGGGAGAGACGAACAATGGACATTTTAACGATTGGGTCAACTGGCTGCATTACTTCCGTTGTTAACACTGCCTGCATTGCTACCTGCCTTTGCGCTGCTGCCTGTCTTTGCATTGCCGCCAGCCTTTCCTGCGCTGTTCGCACCTTCACCGCTACTTGCCTCCTGTGCATCTTGGCCTTCCGTCCCGTTACTGTTGCTGGCGTTGTTCGTCGCGCCGGCCGCACCACTCGCGCTATTCGAGCTATTTTCTCCATTTGCTCCATTTGCGGCGTTGTTCGTGGCATTGCTGCTCGGGGCATCATTACCCGGTACACTCGCTTCCGCACTACTCGGAACAGCGCTAGCGTTTGCCATCGCCTTGGCCGTGCCAGGCTTGCTACCAACATTTGCATTGCTCGAATTGCCCATGTTGGCCTTATCCTTAAGGGAGTTGCTGGTGGTGGAGGAGGAGGAGACGGGGCCTCCACTTGGATGTGCCCCACCAACATGACCACCACTGCCGTGTCCTCCGCTGACCCCTCCCGCGGAAGAACCTTCACTCATGTTTGTCGGAATGGTGACCCCAGCATAGGTGCCCTTCGAACCGCCTGGACCGTGCAAACTTTGTCTCGCCCCCGGGAGTCCCCCGCTCACACCGCTATGTGCTCCTGCGTGGGTAGGGGCAACATACCCTCCGACATGGCCACTAGTATGAGGACCAGCGTGTTCTCTTGTATGCATAGGAAGGGCTCCTGCCCCTGGAGTAGTCCCCACCTGTCCAGCTACATGTGATCCAATGTGATTCCCCACATGGTTGTTGCCATGCAAGACATCCTCGCTGTTAATATTATAAAGTAGTTGCAGCAACCACTTCTTTGTGTAAGGGTCTTCCTTAAGACATGGAATAAAAGCCTTGTGCACATGTCTCAGCGATTCTGGAAGGCATTCCCTAAGTGCTTTTAATGCCTTAGGATTTTCAGACAGCCTTAAGTAGCACCTGACAATGTGCTTAAGCAATCTTGAGGAAGGGTGTTCTATTAAAGCATTAACCATATTAGAAAGGACAGTCGACACAGCATAGAATCTCACCGGAGTAGCACATATATAATTCAGTCCCAGTTCATCAATAAGAATTTTTTGCACGATGAAAGTAGCTACTGTTTTGGAGAGTTCACTTCCCGTTTCCATAATGCGTAGACACAGGGGTATAATTTCTGTTTGTAATAAAAAATTAATTACGTCGGGGTTGTCGACCTTAACTAATGCACCTATTACACCTAGTGAAGTTAGACGTAAATATTCAAAGGGTCTATTTTTACTCTCTGCATTTAAAAATGGATACAGGAATAAAGGGATGTGTGCATTCAGGAAATGTTGCTTGGTCTCTGGGTGCGATGCAACACATTGGAGAAGGGCTAGTGAATTACAAACTCGATTAGAAGATGAAGTGGTTAGTAGTGGAGGTGATAGTTGAGGATATATTGAAACTATTTCTTGAAGTAATGTTGTTATGGCTCCAAATGAATTCCACAGAACCGGTGCTATGTCCTGATACGTCTCTCGCTTTCTCGACAATTCTATTAATGCACTCTCTCTTTTATCGGAGTAGCATAAATCAAATACGAGTTGATACACTTTTCTTTTTTCCTCGTCATCTGTTGGAGGTGTGTTACGTGTATTGGTCTGGTTATTAGCGTGACCGCTACTACTGCTTCCTGCTGTGTTTGCGCTTGCGTTTGCAGTCCCATTGCTCGCTTCGTTCGCCACGTGCTCGTTGTGTTGAGGATGGGGACCGACACCGCTAGTTGAGCTGCTCATACCACTGGCGGAACTATTATTCTTTACGTTGCGCGGGTTTGAAGTGGGAGGAATGGCGAGGTGGCTGGATGATGATGCTACCTGATGTTGGGGGGACGCGTGTCCTCCTCCAGCGGCAGCGGCAGCATTCCCTTGCGGACTTCCCTGCGCAATTCCCTGCGCCACGTTGTTCATGGGGGGTGATACTCCACCGTTGAGTGGGGGTCCATTTTGGTTAGCAGAATTCATATTGGCGACGCCCACGTTTGGACCGCTCTCATTGGGGTTTCCCCTCGTGGTAGAGTTCCTCCCCGCAGGACCTCTACTAGCACTGATCTCATTTGTACTGTGTCGGTACGCGCCACCCCGCGAGCCCACGCCAGGAGCACTATTCACGCCGCTCGCGCTTCCTGCACTGTTGCCACTCGCCCCGGTGTTCTCAACACTAGCATTCACGCTGTTCTCGTTATTCACCTTGTATCCACTCGCAAAACCTTCATTGCTTACCATCGTTTGAAATGGCCCAATGGCTCTTCGGAGGTGGGGTGGCGAACAGTGTAAAGTACAGAGAAGGGACAGAAGGAGGGAAAAAAAAAAAAAAAAAATGTCAAAAATGCGGGGAGGAAATGAAGTAAATTAAAACTAAAGGCGACGTTAAACGAACTTATAGTTCGCGCAAAAACAACGAACCGTGGTGCAAACCCAACAAAAACGTCGCTCAAAAGCAGGGCGGAGTGAAAAGAAAAAAAAAGAAGAAATAAAAATATATATAAAAACTGGACCCTGTCAGGTGGCGTGGTTAAAACGGGGGCAGTTGCTACACAAAATACCTTTTGCCCCGCGGCTACAAAAAAATGGGAAGTCAAATTTTTGGGGGGAGTGGAAAAAAAAAAAATATACCCCCGACTCGGGGTCACGCGAGGGGCGGGATTTTTTTATATTTGTATGATTTTGAAGAGTCCTACCCACAAATATTAAATGCGAGCGATGCGCGCTTGGTAGGGCGAAGGGGACAAATGGATATAAATGCGGTAATAATATTTTCGTGGGAGTAAACTCATCGAGGTTATTCGCTCCACTTGTTCAATAGAGCAGATTTTTTTTTTTTTTTTTTTTTTTTCCTTCCCCCCGCCGGTGTGGCCGCGTCGCGTTGCAGGAGTTGCCACCTTTTTTGTTGCAGGGTGACTTTTGTTCATCACAAAGTTCATTGTCCTTTTCCCATTCGATAAATGCTGTATCATTTCTTTTTTAATTTCTACCTTTCATGGTGAGGAGCGTTCTACATGCATGTCGGAGGTGTATTTTTATGGGTGGCAAAAAAGCATACGGAAACGGTTGAATGAGCAAGGGGAGTGATGGTGGGGGAAATGTTTTCTCAAGTCTTAGTTGCATGCATGAGAGGGAGGTGCACCCATCACAGAGGCAACACGGGTGCTAGTCCGCGTAAAGAACCCCTATATGGGCAATTTACTTCCACTTTCAAGCCCCCCCACACGTGAAGAGACATGATTGTTTTGTTACACCCCCGTGGCGAAGTCCTACCCGGACCGTGCCTCTTAGTCGTTCCAGACCAACCGCTAACTGATAAGCGCAAACTGATCATTTGTGATGGAAGGAATTTTTTCTTTGGGGGGCGGGGTAGCACTCACTCCGATAATGAGTGGCTAATGGAAACAGGGGGAGAGCACAACCATACGTTCGTTTTGCCCCATTCTATTTGCGTGTCCCCCTTTTTTTGTAGAGAACAAAATTTTCAGACTGGGCAGTCGGAGTGGACACAATGAAGTGTTGCGTACACAAGTGCATTACCATTTTGGCACCCCCAGGGGGGACGCAAAATAAGTGGTCGTCCTGTTTTTTTTTTTTTTTTTTTTTT